CTCTGCACCTGAAAACTCACTGTCTCTCTAGAAATGCCAAGGCTTCTTCATTCTCCTTTCCCTAGCATACACTGTGGACAACTGCTCATCTTCATTGCTGTGGCTGACACCCTCATCCAGGCCTTCATCCTTTTACCTTTAACATTAATTGAGGAGTAATTCTTTGTCGCGAGGGCTGTCCTGTACGTTGCAGGATGTCAACAGCATCCCTGGCCTCTAGGGGCCAGTAGCATGTCCTCTCTGCCCAATTGTGACAACCAAATTTCTACAGACCAATTTCTATAGACATTGTCAGATATCCCATGGGAGGCAAATGATCCAATCTTGAGAACCTCTACTTTAGACTGACATCCAAAGACCTCCATTAAATGTTAATTCCTCAAAATTTATCAATCCTTTTAAAAATTATTCCAAAATCCCTTATGTTAGCTTCCATCAAGAACATGCAATGTTTATTGTGCATGTTTCCCTTGCCCGAGTCAAGGTACCCTTCTTCTCATACTCTTCTGGTCTATCTGTTTATTCCTAGATACAGTCACACACAGCAGGAAAACTTCTATGATTAATTTCATACCCTCATATTATCACTGCAGTTTGTTGACACCATTTCTTCTCAGCATCCTTTGTGGTCTTTCTTTCTCTTCCTGTGGCTGATATTCCTCAGTGTTCTGTCTGTGGTCATCATTTTTACTAGGCCTGCATTCTCCCAGGATGTGGTCTTCTAATCTTTCTGCCTCATCTTTTGTAACAATGACCATCATCACCCCTGCTCCGGATTTATATCTCCAGGATGACCTATCTCCTGAACCAGTATGTAGTTTTTCCAACTAATGGCAAAACACTTACAAAAGAAACTACAGACCTCTCGAAGTCAGTATGTCCAAAAAAAGTTTATTTTCTCTCCTGACTGAACTCTTCCTCCTATCTTCTTTTCTCAATAAATTTATTTATGATGCATCCAAATACCCTAAACAGGAACCTTAGAATCTCTCTTACCCATTCATACAACCTGTCTCCAAATCTGTTCCCTCCTTCCTCCCCATTGTTCTTACTCAGCCCAAGCCCATTTTGTTGAAGTTTCTGGTCCCCTTGCCTTTAGTGTATACTTTTTCTGGTCCAGCCTTACCTTTGTTTTCCCTTTAAAACACCACCCTGTTCATAAATGTTTGACAGCTTCCCACTGCCTATTATCTAAACTCCCCCGTGTGTGCGTGGAAGCTTCGCAGCCAGGCTACACCTGCCTTCCTAGTCTCTGCACACGGGCACCCTCTGCGCGTCCAGCGTTCCAGCCACTCCAGTCCGTTCATTACTCACTAACCTTCCCGTGCGTCTGTCAGTCAGGCTCCAGTCAGAAAACTAAAACCGTGCTAGGTATTTCAACAGGGATAATTTATTAAAAGAAATGGCTAACCAGGTGTTTGAGAATTTAAAAATGAGAGCAAGACACTGAAGTATTGATAACTCAGAGATAGTTTACTATGTAATCAGAAAGCAGCTATCATTCTGGGGCTGAGGGATTACAGGAAAGAGGATGAGTTATCAGAAACTAAAAGTTTGGGCGAGAGATGCCACAGACCTGGGACCTGCATCTCTGAGGAAGGGTAACGCCTGGCTACTGTTATTATATATAAAACCTCCGAGATGCTGAGCAGAGGCTCCTTGGAGCTGAGGCTCAAATCTCTAGGGAAGGGAGGCTCCCAGGCCGGTGCAGGAACCTCTAAGAGTAAGGTGAAGCTGGTTCTGAATAAAGCTGAGCACTGCAACCAAATGCTGATGTCGGGATGAAGAGCCATTACTGAAGGTGTAATGGGAGGAAGAGCCATCAAGCGAGATGAAGAAAACAGGCTCTCCATTCCGCCTACCTTCTCTGCTCCCTCTAGTGCTCCCTGTTGGTAGAATCCGGCAGACAACTTGCAGGGTTCTGGCCTCAACATCAGAAGGGTCGATTGCTTAGTAACGAACACAGTGCACTCCTTGCCTTTCCTCACACGGTTTCCCCATTTATAATGCTGTTTCAACCAATATCTGCCTGATGCATGCCTTTGTTCAAATACAATTTCTTTTCTATAATCTTTCCTAATCTTCCCAAAAGTAATTATTTACACCAGCATTTGAGTTCCCCTACCAGTTTGCAAATGATTCCTTTGTAGTCTTTTTATATTGCATTATAATGTGTGTTTGTTTATTTTCTACCAAACCATGAACTCCTTTAGGGCAGTTAGAGTTACAACCATAAAATCTAGCAGGGTGCCTGGCATGAAACAGATGTTGGTTGAGCTGGATGTAATCGATAAGGGCATTTTAATGAAATTAATATTAGATCGTTTCTTGTAGATATGCTATCTTCCCAAGCAGATTTGTACTTCATAAGAGCAAGATCATGCTTTATATTTCTTTTATTTTCTTCATGGTGTTTAGTACAAGGTTTTATATGCTGAAGAAGAGCTCAATGATATTTGTTAGCCACCTAGTTTGTTCATTAACCACCACAATTTTGGTTCAAAACGACATGAAGATGGAGCATGAGTTTGTGAACAGAAGGTAAGATCTATAGTTAGGTTTCGATGTGATTCCAACAGTCAGAGAGCACTGTGCATATGGTAAAGTTCTGTTTTTGTTAGAGGAATAGCACAATCAAGAGACCAAATGTAATGTGTTTATAGTGAATTCTAGAGTAATGAAGTGTATTTTCAGTTTCATTTTTTTCTATTTATCTCTTACAGAAAATATATTCCCCCCCAATCCATGATATTATTAATATCATGGGCTACGTCTGTTTCTAGTATATTTATTAAATTTCTGACAACTATCAAAATCCACTAGTAATTATTTAAATGTAGGAAAGATATTGAATTTTAACTTAATCACCAGCTTCTTGAAAAAAAGAAACCTCTGTTCAACAACTGATTTACATTCAGGTGCTGGAAGAAGAAAAATAGCTTTTTTTTTTTTTTTAAAGGGGAGTGATATTTAATTAACTATTGATTTCTTCTCAATTATTCAAGGCAAGCAATTATCGATATTGATGGAACAGATATTTCCCTACTTTTAGTGCCCAAATGAAAGGAAATATCCCATTCAGCAATCTGCTTCCTGGAACAAGAAATGCTGAGAATCTTTAACTTTAAATGGAAACAGTTATTTGGATCTGTTTATTCCACGTTGCCCCAATTAAACAGATTATTTCTTGAGGTGTAAGCAAAACAAAACCCTGAAAACCTATGTATGGCTTTCCAAATTAACCACAGCCAAAAAACAAGGGCTTTTGTCAGCTTTGACCGTGAGGCTAACCACTCTACACTTGTGGACTTTGCTTTACAGCTACAGATCTTGACATTTTTAACTGTGACTCATACAATACTATAATTTGGATCTAATATTCATGATTTCTAAGCCACCCAATAAGAGATAGCTTAAATAATCATTAGAACCTATGGAACACTGCCTCGTATATCAATATTTTGAGCCTGAAGGATTTAGTAGGCCTTAGTAGTCACTCCTGACATTTACAGACAGCAAATGTGGATGCATTTGAAAATTATACCAATACACTGTGCAACTGTGTTAGAGGTCACCCAGGAAATGTTGAAGAAGGTGGTAAGACAGCGCCCTGTTTAGGGCACTTGGTTATTAACCCTGTGGGTATCCACCAGTATCTTTCCTCAGCTCATTTGTACACAGAGCATTAGCATGTTTGTGTGTACGAAGTCTCTCTTGAAGGTGACATGACTATTGAACACGATTAATGGACAAGGAAACATTCTCTATTGAGTTACTACTTAGAGGGTGTTTTTTTAATACTTTGCACTTAATAGTAACATTAGGTGTGTGTATGAGTGTGTGTGTGTTTAATTCATGTGGCATCCCTGGGGAAATCTGACCATGACATTTTTTTAAAAATGAAAAATGTTATAATTTAAGAAAAGCTACTTTTTCTGCTCTGCCCCCCACCCCCATTCCAAAGTGGTTCTATATGTTAAGTGCTTAAGCAGCATATGTTGCTGGGAAGAGTTCTTGGCTCTTTTACTCTTTGTTGTTGTTTTAATTTCCCTGGGTTCTATTTAACATTCTGCTAAATCAGTGAAACCTTGATTATCTAAAAGAATAGGAGACATGGAATTAATGAGGATGGCCAGAATTTGGAAGAAATAAGAAATTATTAGAGGCGAAAGCTGCATGACAGGAGCCATGGCTGAATTTTAGACTCTGGTATTGCTTGATTATTCAAACCGATTCTATTAATTGATGGACATAATGACATTTTGATAATCAGGGTTTCACCATGGCATTTATTACTACTCCTCGAAATCAAGGTAACCTTGGGCTCTCCTTCCCATATTTACAAGGTGATAAAAATCCCTAATAGGCTGTCAGGCACAAATGTGACTGTTTTCCTCACACTCCTCCCATGAAACAAGCTTTCTCTCTTCCCACCTGGCTGCTGCCTGGCTGGAGCATGCTACTTTTCCCACATCTCAACCCCTCCACCCTCCCGCCTCCCTGTGGGCTGTCTTCATGCATGCAGGGCTGGAATCACGCGGGGGAGAAAATGGCCCACTCCTTTTGGAAGTTCTTGGCCATTTTAGCAACACCGCTTTGCATTTTAAATACCATTCATCTGACTTCAAAGCTCTGCGTTCCTGTATCAGGCACTTGTCCTTTAAAAACCCAGGAGGTCACAACAGGTCCCAGTTCCATGGAGTGAAGATACTGCCAAACCAGGAGTATGGCATCACTTTGTATTTGATAGCGTGAAATGGACAATGGTAACATCGAAATTGCAGCAGGAAATCTATACGAAAAGGACTAATATGATAAAAACAAAGGCAGCGAACCACATTTGTTTGGAAACTGGAGTCACAGGCTTCGTTTGTGGGGGGAGGGGGAGCACAAGATCAATAGAGATTTTTTTAAAGCTGAAAACATGATGTACCAGATGAACTTAAATTGATTCTGCTTCTCCTCCCCGCGCCCACCCCACCCTCCCCCTCATTCTGCAGCGAACGTCTGCGACAACGAGCTCCTGCACTGCCAGAACGGAGGGACCTGCCACAACAACGTGCGCTGCCTGTGCCCGGCCGCATACACGGGCATCCTCTGCGAGAAGCTGCGGTGCGAGGAGGCCGGCAGCTGCGGCCCCGGCTCCGGCCAGGGCGCGCCCCCTGGCGGCTGCCCCGCGCTGCTGCTGCTGCCGCTGCTGCCCGCGCTGCTGGGGACGGCCGGCGCCCCGGGGCTCTAGCTTCGCGTCCAGCCACCGGACAGGCCCGTGCCGCGGGGAAGCAAACACAGCCCGAGCATTTGCTACTAACACAGGAAACATACACACGCAGACAGCCCCAGTCACACAGTGTACAAACTAAGAAGGCCTAGCCGCACTAAGCCATATTTACCAGCCGTGGACAGCACATCCGAGTCAAGACTGTTAATTCTCTGACTCCAGAGGAGTTGGCAGCTGTTGATATTATCACTGCAAATCACATTGCCAGCTGCAGAGCATATTGTGGATTGCAAAGGCTGTGACAGCCCCCCAAACAGGAAAGACAAAAAACAAACAAATCAACCAACCTAAAAACATTTGCTACTCTAGGTGGTGCACCCTCGTACCACTCTGCCCAGTGTGTGGACCGACCAAATAGCACTCTTCGCTGTCAGGTGCATTGTGGGCATAAGGAAACTGTTACAAGCTGCCATATTGGCCTGCTTCAGCCCCCGAACCCCTTCCAACCTGTGCTTTAGTGAACGTTGCTCTGTAACCCTTGTTGGTTGAAAGATTTCTTTGTCTGACGTTAGTGATGCACACGTGTAACAGCCCCCTCCAGAAGCGCAAGCCAGTCATAGCCCCGTATATCCTAGCGGCACTGAGCCCCCAGTGCGAGCACACACCCACTACACAAGAGTGGCCACAGGAAAAAAGAAAGTGTATCTATCCTTTTGTATTCAAATGAAGTTATTTTTCTTGAAATACTGTAATATGTAGATTTTTTGTATTATTGCCGATTTGTGTTACCAGACAATCTGTTAATGTATCTAATTCAAATCAGCAAAGACTGACATTTTATTTTGTCCTCTTTTGTTCTGTTTTGTTTCATTGTGCAGAGATTTCTCTGTAAGGGCAACGAACGTGCTGGCATCAAAGAATATCAGTTTACATATATAACAAGTGTAATAAGATTCCACCAAAGGACATTCTAAATGTTTTCTTGTTGCTTTAACACTGGAAGATTTAAAGAATAAAAATTCCTGCATAAACGATTTCAGGAATTTGTATTGCAATTTCTTAAGATGAAAGGAGCAGCCACCAAGCAGTTTCACACTCACTTTACTGATTTCGGTGTGGACTGAATACATTCAGCTGACGAATTTGGTACCCAGGAAGATGGATTGATGTTCACTAGCTTGGACAACTTCTGCAAAATATGAGACTATTTCTACTCGGGAAAAATTACAACAGAAAAAAAATCTAAGTGATTGCCAAGATTATGCCAAAGCCTGTTGGCAGAGTACTAAGAGACTTTTATTTTTAAGTCATGCTATTTTCACAGATTGATGGTGATCATGTGACTCTAGGGATGCTGATCTATGTATCTTCCCAAATACAGTGTTTACATGGAGTGTCATAAGAGGCAACCTGGGGAACCAGGAAAGTAGCAGGGAAACCGAGTCATTAGCAATTTGACTTTGACTATATTCAGACTAAGTATTTATAGGAAATATCAAAATACACAGCAGCAAATAGACATAACTGCTGTTCCTGAGAATAAAGTTTGTTTTAAGTACTGCCCAAGGTGTAATAAATTCTTGTTTCTGCCTTTTATTAGGCCAATTACTGTGCAAGACAGCAAGGGGAGGCAGGTGGGGCAGAACCACTACCAAGTTTCAAAGAGGCTAACACAGTGTGTATTTCATTCCCAGCACGCTGCCGTCCTACAGGTTACAAATGTGTTTGCCGCAGCATCGCCTGGAATCAAACACAATTATCAGTCCAAGCCAGAGTCTTAAAGACAATGAAGTTCTACATGACTTGGTAGAACAATAACCTATGATAGTCACAGGTCGCAAGGCTAGTTCCAGTCTGCATTCTTCACCCTGCTGCCACTCCTTGCTGAAACAGGGGAGGGGGCGCCGAAATGTCTCCTGATAAATAACCTGGGAAAAAGCTAGATGAGGGAACAGAATGTCTCATTGGTTTTGTTCCCAGAAAAGCCAATTCAAAGAAGGCAATAAAAGGTAAACAGGTAATGCCTGTGCCGCCTGCCACCCCACGACTAAGTCTATTGAATGTTTGTTATTCAAACCAACAGTCTCTTTAGATGTGAGAAATAAGAAAAGATGGAAATAAATTAGAGCTTTGGCTTAGTGCCAGAGTGGCCAACCAGAAACTGGAGATTTACTCTGGAAGTATAAATAGAAAATTACGTTTCAGGCTCACCAAAGAATACACGTGAAAATTCTGATAACATAGGGAGTTAGAGATGACTTACAATGAGGTGGATTTCTAATATTAAAATTGGAGTTTAAGTTATCCTATAGTTTATTAGCACAAACCAAAGGCAGCCCGTGCTATTCCTGGCACCGACGCACTTTCTCGCTACTCACGCATGCCTTCGCCACAGTGCTCAGGAATCAGACACTGCGCATTCCAGTATGTGGGATTCCATAAGCTCATTCTTTAATGAAGGCCTGATCTAAATCAATTCATCTGCATTTTATCTTTATGAGGCTGTAAGAATCTAAAGTGATGAGGAATATCTTGCGTTCAGTGTATTTAGACATAGTTTTCTGAATTTCCTGAAGTGATGTGATCTGCTTTTAATAAAAATCCACTTTTAGGTATACAACAAATGGAAATGAAATGTTCTTTTCAATCTGGATTCTCAAGTTCTTCTAAAGGGCCTATTCCTTTGAAGAAACCCCAACTCGGCTGACTGTATTCACCTGCTGCTTTCCAGCCTTCTTACAAAGCTAGTTTCATCTACAGTGTTCCGTCCTCGGTACAGGAGTGGGCTGAGAAGGGGGTACTCAGCTGTTCATACATTTGAGGTCCTAATACCTGTTCTTTTTTCTACTTGGCTATATCCCTAAAGGTGTTTAATATAATCTTGCATACGAGTTAATCTATCAACTTTTCCATAAAGTAAAAATATAATTCCCCCAACAATGCTATTGATGAGCATAAAATTTCAAACAATGGGACAAAGGTTCAGCTATCTAGAAAGCGTTGCTATTTATAGGAAAGCAGTAGACGTGGCCTGCTGTGCTGTGGAAGGATTTATTTCTGACCCTGTACGCAGCCTAGAGGAAGAACTTCCGTCCAGCAAAGAGGGACTCTCACTTGGGCCCATTCTGACCCTCCTCCAGCTTTGTCTCAGATGCCAGGAACCTGGAGTTCCCCATTCCGATGTGCTTCCCCCACTTGGAGGGCACGTGTGAGCCTCCTCTGGGGGGCCAAAGTCCTGACAGCAGGCTGCATCGAGAGTGCACATCCCTGGGCTCTCGGGTGGCAGAGGGTGCCCCTGTGTGGGTGGATTAATCCCTGGGGCCTGGAGTGTTCTCTGGGGAATTCCCACATGCGCAAGGAGAAGCTCCTTGCAGTGAAAACCAGAGTGCATGGAAAAGAGGAGGGCGAGGGGCAGGAAGGAGACAGACAAGGGCTACCTCCAGGCCAGGGCCAGGACAGTCTGAGCAGTCTAAGGATTCTAAATCTATGCCTGGGCTTCCGATTGTTATGAAAGCATATGTGTCAAAGTAGCGGGGTGGGATATATTTTATTTAACACTTTGTTAGCTTGATATATAATTTTTAAATACTTACACATAAGGCGTGTGGGCCTCCGTTGGTGCTTTTGCCCTGGGCCCTGTAAACGTGGCGTGGATCTGCCTCAGGTACCCTTGAGTCCAATCCCTATGCTGGTGCAAATCGCTCACCTGGTAACAAAGAGAAAGGTCCAGGTTGAAAGAAGGTGTCTGCTCCATAGTTCAACTGTCCCTGCAGTTAATGCTCACCTCACCCTTTCTTGGACCTGTGGCCTTACTGGAGTATAAGAAATTTGGGATGAATTGGGATCAGCTGTGAGGAAATCCGGACCTCAAATCTTTTGTTCCATCCCCTTCACCCTCTGCCATCCAGGATTTTTGGGTTGTAAAGACCCCGTATTCTGCAATGGGATGCTCTGTGCCATACAGGTGATGGGTCGTTGTACTTCACCTACTGCTGAATTCTAAATAGAACACCTATTTAAGAGTTTCTCTGCTCACGAGATTGAACAGGACATGTGGGTACCAGGTGCTCTGTATGTTCATTATGAACTCTACAGGCATTCACCATCGGGTGTGATTCAGAGCTCAGCTTCAAGGATCTGAACTAGATCGAGTTCCTTGCCTACCATTTGTATCCCAGCTTCAGTTGATAAGGATGGGAGGGCAATGGTGGCAGCGACCAAACTGCGTCTTAGAGCGATATGAGTGACCAGGTTTGTTTGTTCACTTATAGGAAATCCAACTGGACAGTCTTAATATACAGGACTGAGAAATACAAACAAGGCGCACCCTCGGGGTTCCGATTCAAGTATCTGGTCCTGCACAACTCTTTCTTTGCCTCGGGAAATAAAATCTCGATTCTAACCAATTTTGTTTCTAGGAAATATCGAATGCTCATATGACAAATATTCTGTCAGTTCTGACCATTTCCATATAGGATGATTTTTCACTTTTAACTAACTGTATTTTTATTTTGTTACACTAAGAGTAGCTTTTTCCTTAAGTTACCTAAAACAAATGCTGACAAATTCCCAGCATAAACTGCACATAAACATATCATTAATATGATGTCAGAAAGAATTAATAATGTCAACCATCATATTTTGAATGTTCACCAATAATCCTAGAAACATAGTGAACTTTTACTCTTCACAACACCTGGTAAGGCATGACTCACATATTACCATCTTCATTTTACATCTGAATAATCAAATAACTAAGAAACAGAAATCGTATAAATTGTACTATTGCATTTAACTAGGAATGAGAAAATAACATCTGTGAAAAGCTCATAATAATACTGAATAAAATTCAGTTACTTGAGATCTATTATGGCAGAAAAATTCTGCCCCTAATACATTTTTAGAGCCGGTCCTGAAACAAGTCTAGCAGAAAGACTGAAATGATTTTAGGGGCTGTTTAGATTTAAATAGTTGAGCATTTAATAAATGCTGGAATCCCCCTCTGCCATCTTCCATCATCCGAAAGCCGTTTTTAATTGATAGATGAATTAAAATGGAGTGGTAACGTTTAAAATTATGTGATGTTTTTATTAACCTGAAATGATAGCTGGTAAAATGGGCCATTATTCTGCAAAACCTAATTATGTTAACGCTAAAGATTTAGCTAGGCTGGCTGAAGCAAACTGCAGAGGATACAAAGTAAAAATAATCCCCATTTTCTTAATTTAGTCCCATTTTTTCAGAGGCGTAACTTTTAACTATTATTTAACTAGTGAACTATGAATTTCATGAGGAAGAAATTGAGGAAAGAGAAAAATAATTACTACCCCTCCTACCTCTGTCTGAACAGATTCTGAAATTCCTGCATGGCAAGAATGTGTCAAGTTACGTGAAAGACATAACGTACTGTGGTTGTATCCTCCAGCCTCCCTGATAGTACTACATTACAGCTTTTCTCTTACAAGAGGCAGTCATTCTAATCTAATAAAAGAAGGAAAATGGCAGAAAATCACACACCTGAAGTCCTATTAAGAATAGGTGATTCTTTTTGCCCCAGGCAGGCAAGAACATAATGTCATTTTTGTTCGTTTATATTTGCGCTCTGAAGGAGGGCTGCTCCTGGTGGGGAATGGTTTTCCCTCTGCCAGTGTGAAACACTGCAAGAAAACATTCTCCAAGGAAATAGCATTTTGCTATTTACCAGTCATGACTACCCCATGAAGCCCTGAGTAATTGTTTTGGCTTTCATGGTGTGATAAACGCCTAGAGGCAAAGAGATTAGTGTCATCACTCTCCGTCTCTTTTTCTCTCCCTTTGGAAAAACAAGGTGTGTGGGGGTGTCCAAATATAGTATGACAACGTTTGCAAGAATCTTTCAGGGAGTTGATGCTTAATTATAAAGACCCCAGCTAAATATTTCATTTATTAAATTAATAGCATGAGAAATATTGGAGCAGCTTTGCAACCACTCAAACTTGTGTTTACATCCTGTGTAATTACAATTCATGATTGGGAAAGCAGTCAAATCTCAA